CGCCGGCGTGGGTGTGAGTGAGGTGCCTGCGCTGGGGGACGCTGTGGCAGTTTCCAAACGCGGACTGGTCACAGCGGTGTGCAGCGTAAGTGCGAGGGCCAAAGGGGAGAGACTGAGGCAGGCCAGGCGCCTTCCCCCACCAGAAATGGGCTAAGGGAGCTCCCGGCTGGGCGGAGGAAGCTGGACCCATCTGCTGAGACCCCCCGAGAGAGAGGAAGGGCTGGGGAGGCTCGCACGGGGGGCCTCCGAGGCGGGGATTCTCGCAGATGCCAGAGTCTTGCACCGGCTGGGGGAGTGGCGCTGATGTCCGCTGCCATCTGTGCAAGCTCGTCGCCGCCCACCCCGCGCCGGCCCCGTCACTCGTTTCACCTAGGACTGCCGTGTCGCGGGCACAGGCTCCTGCCGTGGCACGTGAAGGTCGTGGATGACAGGCACGCGAGATCACAGCACCACGCAGCGGCCTGCCCGCGGCTTCTACGTGGGAGGCACGTGAGCGCATCCGGGAAGGCGGTTTGACCTCCTTGCGTCTCCGCCTCGGGCTTAGTTCTTTCAGAAATAGACACTGGGATCGGAGGCGGGGAATGTCGGCATTGGGTAGAAGGACCAGAATGGTCAAGTGCACGCTGCAGCCAGATGTCCTACCTCCTGCTTGTACCTCCATCTAGTGAGGGAACCTGCTGCTGTAGTTTTCATCCTCGAGCGGCTTGGAGGGTACCGATTAGGAGCTAGTCGCCTAGCTTGGTATCCCAGCCCTGCCCGCCACCCACTGCTTGACCTCAGGAAGGTACCAAGCCTTCCTGCACCTTAGTTTCCTCAAGTCTGAAGTAGAACAGTAGTACCTCCTTCGTAGGATGGTTGTGAGAGTTAAACAGCTCAGTTGGCATAAAGCACTCAGACATGTGTCGATTATCTGTCGCTGGAACCTAGTGCCTTAAGAGCAGATGTTCTCTTAAGATCTTCTGTGCAGCAGTCTGCAGCTTGGGCAGGGCCCGATGGAGGGGCTTATGTCTGAGCCACTCAGTGTCACTTTGGGCACTTGTCCGGGGCTCGGGGATCTGGTTTTGAGGTGGCTCATTCACCTGACTGGCAAGGTGGTGCAGGCTGTTGGCTGGGGGGGGGAGGGGGGGCTCAGCTGGGCTGGGGACAGGGGGCCTTGCTTCTCCTCCACGGGCCTCTCCACCAGCTGCATGGGCTTCCACACAGCGTGGTGTTTGGGTTCCAGGAGCAAGGGTCCCAGTAGAAAAAGGCGGAAGCTTTTTTGTGACCTGGCCTCAGAAGTCACCAGCACTCTGTCCTCCATCGTACACTGGTCAAGGCAGTCACAGAGGCTCACCTGGTTTCAGGACAGACACAGGGGCGCCGCCCATCTGGGGAACAGGCAAAGGTTCTGGAAGGGCACGCAGGATGAAAGATCGTTCTGTGGCTATATTTGGAGAATAAAACCTGCCACGGCATAGGTTCTGGCATGCAGTAAGCCTCAACAAATGCGTGCTGTCACTAGTTCAAAACCATTGGCAGCTGTCCTTCCTCCCAGACTCCTGTTTCTTAGAAGGTGGTAGTATAGCACAGTGGTTAAATGCACCTGCTTTGCAGCCAGGCTACCCCGGGTCAAATCCCGACTGGCCCCTTAGAGCTGTGTGACCTTGGGTGAGTTGCTTCACCTCCTCAGGTTGTAGAATTTATGATGATGAGATTGGGATTGTGCAGATTACATCAGCATGGAGCACGGAGCCTGCAATAGTGGTCACTCATTACCTAGATGGCCTCATTGGTGCAGTTCCTTCCAGAAAGATTGTCCTATTTACACGTCCTAGCGATGGAGAGGAAGCTGGATCCAGAGTAAGTTTGTGAACTGGAAGTCCCTGCGCTTCCAGAAGCCTGAAGGTTGGGAGGGGAGAAAGGGAAGTGTCCTGTTAAAGGTTCGCGTACTGTACATGGAGTGGCACACGATCACCTGAAAGTAGATTGCGGTAAATTAAAAATGTGTACTCTAAACCCTATAGTGACCTCTGAGTGACAAAAGAAAGTCTTGCAGCTAAGCCAACAAAGGAGATAAAACAGAATCATAATAAATACTCAGTGATCCAAAAGAAGGCAGAAAAAGAGAACAAAGAACAGATGGGAGAACTATAAAAATAAATAGCAAAGGTGATATATTTAAACCTAACTATATTGATAGTTACATTAAATGTGAGTAACCTAAATTCTCCAATCAAAAGGCAGAGATTTTCAGATGGGGGCGGGGGGTGGTGAAGCAAGACCAAACTGTATGCTGCCTACAAGAAACACAGTTTAGGAGCTCCTGGGTGGCTCAGTCGGTTAAGCTGCCGACTTTGGCTCAGGTCATGATCTCACAGTTCATGGGTTTGAGCCCCACGTCAGGTTCTGCACTGTCAGCAAGAGCCTGCTTCAGATCCTCAGTCTCCCTGTCTCTCTTCCCCTCCCCTGCTCTCCCCCTCTCTCTCTCAAAAATAAATAAGCATTTTTAAAAGTTAAAAAAAAAAAGAAACATGGTTTAAATATAAAGATGCTTAGAGATTAAAAGTAAAAGAGTGGAGAAAGCCACACTAATCACTCATCAAAAGAAATAATCAAAAGCTGGAGTAAGTATATTAATAATAGATAAAGACTTGCGTATATTTAGAGAATATGTGTGCGTATATATAAAAGAACTCTCAAAATTCAAAGATAGGAAAATAACCCAGTGAAGAAACAAGTAAAAAATTTGAAGATACTTCAGTGAAGACGTACATGTGGCCAACAGGCACATGGAAAGACGCTCAATAATATTAGTCCTAATGCAAAGTAAAAACATTGAGATTAAAACCGTGCAATGCCATCACACAGTTTTTAGAATGGTCAGAAGTAAGAATGACTGAGCGTGTCAGGTGTGGGTGAGGGCGTGGAGAAATCGGGACCCCCCCTGCACTGCAGGTAGGAGTGTAAAATGGGACAGTCATTTTGGAAAGCAGGTTGGCAGTTTCTTAAAAAGTTAAACATACGACCTAGCTATTTCACCCCTAGGTGTTTACCCAAAACAAATGAAAACATGTGTCCCTACGAAGTCCTGCACATGAACGTTCATAGCAACTTCATTTGAAACAGCCCCAAACCGGAAGCAAGCTCAGTGCCCATCAACAGGTGTGTGGATAAACCGCGATAGGTCCATACAAGGGAGTACCGCTCGGCAAAAAAAAAATGGAATGAGCCATCCACACGCCATACAACACGGATGAGTTTTGAATAATTATGCTGAGAGAGAGAAGCCAAACAAAAAAAAGAATACGTGCTCCATGATTCCATCGGTGTAAAATTCTAAGAGACGCAGATTCATCTAACAGTGACAGAACAGATCAGTGGTTGCCTGGGGGTGATGGGCCGGGGTGGGCACGAAGGGGCGATGGATGTATAGTCTTGATGAAAGTGATGGTTCCACAAGTGTGTGCATGTATCCGAACATGTCAAATTGTGCATTTTTACTGTGTGTCCAATATATCTAAATAAAATGGTTTCTGAAAGTGCGTGGAGAAGAGCTTTGTTGGATCCAGCTGACCTTGGCTGGCAGTGCAAGGTCAGAAAGGACCAGTTATGACCCTGAAGCCCTAGGAACCCTACCAGTTTCCCGCCCTTTCCGATTGGCTTGTGAGTTTTACATATTTGCTTCCTGTCATCTCTGCCTATCTCCTTATCCAAACATATTTCATTCTTTATTTTCCTGTAGGTGGATCAGTTTGAGTGTGAATTGTGGGCAACCGAACTCTTATCCTAGATGATAGTAAATCTCCCCAATTGGTGCCTTTGCTTGCCAGGTATCAGTAGACACATTTGAGGGTTTTGACAAACCCAATTCAGACGGCTTAAATATAAAAGGATCTTTATGGGCTCAGATTTTGGAAACGCTAAGAGGTGGATATCAGACACAGTTTGATCCCAGGGGTGCAGCTGATGTTATCGCTGTGATTCTTTTGTTCTCTCTCGGCTTCCTTTCTCAGGCAGGCTTTCCTCAGCCACCTGCAGCAACAGAGAAAGAGCCCCTCCTTCCTGAGTGGTCCAGGAAAAGATCCCAAGTTCAGCCCTCACTGGCTGGGCCTGGGACAGCCTGTACCAGTCCCTGGCCAGGGAGATGAGGCGCTTTTTATGTCATCTGCCCGAGAGCCAGGGGTGGAGTCGGCCAGATACAAAGAATGGGTGGAAAGTAGGGAGAGGATGTTCTCCAAAGGCAGGTGGGGATCAGTGTTACCGGAAGCAAAGAGGGCATGGGTGTCAGCAGGGAAAAGCAACAGAGGACCCGGCACCGGGGAACAAATCTGATTATTTTTATTGTTTAACGAAGTGGAACGTTAAAATGCTTCCAAAAGTCAAAAGCGTACCAAAAGATCACTCACGCAAAGGGAGTGACCACTTCTGCGCTGTTCCCCACTCCCCTTGTAAGTCACTGATTTCTGTGAGTCCTAATTTATCCTTCCTGTTTTCTTTATTTTGTAAAGAGAGATATCTGTAGGGGCGCCTGGGTGGCGCAGTCGGTTAAGCATCCGACTTCAGCCAGGTCACGATCTCGCGGTCCGTGAGTTCGAGCCCCGCGTCAGGCTCTGGGCTGATGGCTGAGAGCCTGGAGCCTGTTTCCGATTCTGTGTCTCCCTCTCTCTCTGCCCCTCCCCCGTTCATGCTCTGTCTTTCTCTGTCCCCAAAAAAATAAACGTTGAAAAAAAATTTTGAAAAAAAAAAGAGAGATATCTGTAAGTTTTCTTGTTTCCTCCCTTCTTTACACAAAAGATAGCATACTGTATGTGCTCGTTTGCACTTGCCTTTTTCATTTAACAAGAGAATGAAAACATTTCTAACTAGCCATGCTAATTCTTGCTATTATCACACGGGATCCAGCGTTGACTTGTAGATAATGGGATATACGTGTGAGCGTACGAGCCTTTCCTTCTGGTGAGTGGTGTCTTTATCCTTTTGAGCCTGGGTTGTGAGTGAATCACTGTCTTCTTCCCACGCAGATGGAGGCAGCTATGCCGTCCACGACTCCCGGGCCCCCAGTCTAGGCTCAGGGGGTGAGAGTCCCCCATCGAGCCCCACCGGACACAACTGGGAGATCAACTATCAAGAGGCAGCAATCTACCTCCAGGTGAGCGTCTCCGATCAGGATCTGTTCTCGGTGCCTGTTGGTCGAGCAGGGTACCCGGGCCTCTGCTACGTGCCCAGAAATTCAGTTCTGGCTCCGGTCCCTGTCCCTGCTCCTGTCTCAACTTTCAGTGAGGAGAGCCAGCCCGATCGTGCCCAGACAGGGAGGGCAATGTGCGTGGGCTTTCCTGTGACTCCCGGTTTTGGCCCTGCCTGTCCCCAAGGTTCCCTGAGTCTGTCCGCTTGGCCTTCCCTGCCTCGCTCCCCATTCTCAGGCACTGACGGTCAGTTCTCGAGGGGGAGTTCTTGAAATAACATAATACTGTAGCAGGGGTTGGTCGGCCTGGTATGGGAACTTAGAGATAGGCCTTTATTCCTTTCCTGCCTAATTTGCTGTTGCTTTCACATTTGCTATTTCTTTCTTGGTTCTTGTTTTTTTTTTCCCCCCTCTTTTTTTCAATAAAAACAATACTTTCTTTATAGAAGTAATACATGCCCACTGCAGTAAGTTTAGGTACAAAGGGGATGTGGCAAAAACATTCACCTGAGTCACTGTCAACATTATTTACGAATAAGGGGTGCCTGGGTGCCTCGGTCGGTTAAGCATCCGACTCTGGATTTTGGCCCAGGTCATGATCTCACGTTTTGTGAGTTCGAGCCCTGTGTCGGGCTCTGTGCTGACAGCATGGAGCCTGCTTGGGATTCTCTATCCTTCTCTCTCTCTGCCCCATCCCACTCATGCTGTCTCTCTCTTTCAAAATAAATAAACTTAAAAAATTTTATTAAAAAAGAATAATACAGGGGTTTTCTGTGTTTTGTAATTTTAAAGTCACGTGATATGTACAGTTGTATAATCTGCTTTTTTTATAGTTTGTGACAGAAGCTTTTTTCTTATGTTTATTAAAATTCCTAGAAACAAATTATAATGGCTTTATATCTGATAAATGGATCCTAATTTATGTAAACTGTCCTGAAAAGGCTGGATATTTTCCCATCTTTTATACTTCCCTTATTATATATTATGCATTTCCCTATTATAAATTATAATCCGAGGACAATCCATGCATCGAGCTATTTCTCTCTCTCTCTTTCTCTCTTTAAGATCCAGGATTATTTTATTAGGAAAGCCTCTAAGAAGTGGAATTTACCAGATGGAAGGAAGCAACATTTTTAGGGCCCTTGATGTACAGTTATCAAATATTCTCCAAGGGGGAGACTGCCTCTTAACTGCCTGTCTCACTGTCTGTAGCATTAGTCACTATAATCTTGCCATTCTTGTCACCGTAAAATGTCAGTTTCCTGTGTGCACTGAGTAAGAGTGTAGATGGGGAAGTGGAATTTTTCTTAAATTCATTTGAATAATAATTTTCCCTAATCTTTTTTCTTTGAAGCAGCTCTCACATTGCAAATATGCATGTGTGTGTGCGTGTGCGTGCGTGTGTGTGTTTTAAAGATTTCATTAAATTCGGATAGTCATTTCATAGTTGCTCAGCTCCCTTTATGCTTCTCTTGTTTTATGCAGCATCACATAAGTTGTGTTCCTCACCAGATACATTTTGGTTCAGGTGAAAACGATAGAAATGCTTCCGGGACATTTTGGCAAGCTCGGGCATGCCTGTCGGTGATCTGGAAGGGTGCCGCAGGGTCACTCTGTGCACTGTCACCTTAAGGTTGAATAGACGCTATCTAAGCACAGGATGGATCAAAACACAGAGTTCGGATGGCTTGGGGGACTTGAGAAGTCTGGTAATTCCTTCACTCCTTAAGCAGGTGAGAACATCAGTAGTGAAAATATCTGCCTTTAAGTGGGCACCTGCTGGTCAGTCTAACAACCCTCCAAGGTGGTCTGATCATCTCCCGTTCACTGACAAGCAAATGACACTCAGAGGGGCTAACCGAGCCCAAGGCCACCCAGCTAATAAGTTACAGAGCGTGGATGTAAACCGCGTCCAGCTCACCTCAAACAGTGCTTCTCTTCTATACATTGTTGCTTTATTTCTTTACCTGGCCACGTGTATCCACTTGAAAATGGGCCCCCCCGTTGTGGAAAAAGAGGCCACAGAACTGCAAGTATAGTATGATAATTTTTACATAACGTTTATGCATCCAGACACACACACACACACACACACACACACACACACACACGGGTTCATATACGTATCTAGCAGCATACACCTGTGCGTAGATCCCCATTCCCATCTGGAAAGTTGTTCATCCAACTCGTAAAGGTGATTATCTTTGGCTGACGGAATTTTTACTGCCTTGTAATCCCGTGTATTATTTGAATTATGTTTACCAACAACGCATCATTTTTTTTTTTTTTTTTTTTTTTAATAAAAATCCAAGCAGAACTCAGACGCCTCTGAACGGTAGTTCACGGCTGTTTCGCGTGGGGTGGGTTTGGCTGTTGTCAGATGGCCTTTTTCTCCTGCTTTGCCGCTGAGCTGCGGCATGGCCCCTGAACCAGGCTGTGGGTACGCTCGGATAGTTGGCCCCTTGCTCCTCTGAAGATACCTGGGGCCTGTGGTTTCCTCTCTTCCCAAATTTTACCTGTTAACTCACTCACCCTCGGGAGCCGGGAGCTCTGTGGTCCTGGCACCTCGCAGTGAGGAAATAAGGCCAGTGTTCTCCTTGGGGTTTGGATCAGAATCCAGTGATGTGACTAGTATTTTCCTCCATCCTTGTTGGTGGAGACCTCATCCGCTCTCCTGGCTATTCCAAGTCCTGGAGGTAAAGCCTGAGCGCCCCACCCCCACCCCCCCCTTGTTGGTGGTTCCCTCTAGCCAGACCTGGCTACTTATTGGAAGATGTTACCCAAGAATTGCATTTTTCAGTAATTCGAACCAGAAGCTTCCCGGGCCACCCTGTGTGTCCTCCCACCGCTCCCCGGCCATGGCGGTGGTGGTAAAAACCACCGCCCTGCACAGATCACAGGGCTACGAGTGAGGCTTGCCGGCTTGCCCTCTGTCTGCCTGCTGGGATGTTTGTTCCCTTTGTCTGGCCTGCCCCTGTCGAGTCTGTGGTTTGTCTTTATTTTTTGGTAATGAAGCTAGTGATGTCTCTGGCTTCAGGGAAGTGACTTGTTCAAAGCCACCCTGCAAACCACAGCCGAGGTCAGAGCTCCCCACCTCCCAGCTACTGGGAAGTCCCAGGACGGGCTGGGGTCTGGAGAGGTGGTCTCTTACAGGCGTGGATCATCCTCCCGAACATCCATTAAACACCTCCTGTGTGTACCAGGCATCGTGCTGGGTGAGCACTGGACCGCATCCCCGGCCTTTCCTGCTGTCCTGACACAGGCTTGGTGAGCTGAAGCGGCCTCGGGGTGGCACGGAAGCCCACCAGGCCAGAGTGCTTTCCATGCTTTCCACGCACAGCGTTGCCCCTCTGGGCCCAGAGCCGCTCTTCCTCCAGCCTGGCTGCCTCTTCCGCAGGAATCACTGTGGTGTGTTTCACCTCCCCGGAATAAGGGTTGTGAGGACGGAGAGGGTGGTCTCGTCCCAGAGGAGCCGAATAGCTGGAATAGTTGAAGGTCTGACCTCATTCCAAGACAGCTGGAGAGCTTCCAGAAGGGCTCTGGGTCAGGGGGCCTGGGTGTCCCTTCCTGCTCCACGACTTTCCCCTCCAGGAAGTGAAGAGTCCTTCCAGTGGGAAGAGTCTATGCTGAGTGTTCGTTCTGGAAGTGAAAGAGGCAGGTGCCCTCAACTCAGCACTCCTGATGTTTGGGGCTGGGTAACTCTTCGGCACGGGGACCTCTCCTGTGCATCTTAGGATGTTTAGTGGCATCCTTGGAATTTGCACGCTGGTTGCCAGCAGCACCCCCAGGTGTGATGAACAAACGTCTCCAGGCCGGGATGGGGTGGAGGAAGCGGGGGGCGGGGCAGCATTGCCCCTAGTTCAGAAGCACTAAAGACGACGCGTGTGGAACATTACCGGCTTTGGCTGCTGGACGGGGTGCTGATGGGGGAGAGCTGATGGGGTGGGGTGACCCTTATCGCTGTGCCCACCAATTACAGGGGGGCAGCGAAGACTCCTCCCCGCAGCCACCAGAAGGCTGACCCTAACAGGGAGGGTCAGCACTGGCCCTAGGGTGTCATCTGCTTGTCACAAGTGGACCGTCCCCAGGGCCCTGCCATCGGCAGGAGGCTCATCACAATCTGGTGATTGTGCGGCTCTGTGAGCTCAGGGGCCACTGAAGCTTCTGTGCTGCGATTTTCTCATCTGTCAAATGGGACAATGAAAGCCCCTGCCAGAGAGGGGATGTGGTCAGGAGTAAAGGAGTGTCCAGGGCTCAGGTAAGGGGCTGAGCCTGGTGCCTGGCCGGGTGGGCACCTTGGTCAAGGTCAGCCCCTGTCCCATTACTGTCGGAGCTCAGGAATGAGGGCAAGGCCTGTCATTGTGGAGGAGTTCGGAAAGGAGGTGAGTCAAGAAGTGAAAGAGGCAGGTGCTCTCAACTCAGCACCATACTTCCTATATGTATATATAGAGAGGTAGTCTCAGGCTCCTTTTTTTCTCAATGTTAGTACCATTTATAATCATAATAACAGGTAATATCAACAGGGAGCCTATTGTATGCCAGACATCCTAAGTGCCCTACAGGAGCCCTGTGAGTAAGGACGCGTGTCATAGCCCACTGGTAGTTGAAGAAGGGGAAGGAACATTCTCCGCCTCGTCCAGGGAGGAGCAGGGAAGCCAGGAGTCCGCTGTATTTGCTGGCCCGCCCCGGCCCTTTACAACCCACGGGTGCTTCTGAGAGCCGGAATTTGGCCACTAAGGGGCTCACACGTGCTGCCTCCGTCCTCGTTCTCTCGGGGACTCTTTATTCTTTGATCCTTCCAGGCGGTCCTGAGGAAGAAGCCGGTCTCTTGAGGGACCCGACCGGGGTGCAGTTTGGTGAAGACAATACTTTTGGTCTCCCATCGGCTTCCATCCCGGGCTCGACACTCCGCTCGTTTGCCAAGGGCCCTCCTTGTCCCCCAGCCCCTGGCACCTCTTTGGTGCTGTGTCTCCTCGAGGCCCATTTGCCCACACTGCTCTCGTTCCTTCAGGAAGGCGAGAATAATGACAAGTTCTTCACCCACCCCAAGAACGCCAAAGCGCTGGCGGCCTACCTCTTCGCACACAACCACCTTTTCTACCTGATGGAGCTGTCCACGGCCCTGCTCCTGCTGCTGCTCTCCCTGTGTGAGGCCCCCGCCGTCCCCGCGCTCCGGCTCGGCATTTACGTGAGTGTCCGCTTGGCCAGCCCGGAAGGGAACATTCTGGTAGAGCAGATGCCCCCGGTGGATTTAGAACAGAGAGGCCCGGGTGTGTGCGGCGGGCATCGTAGAGGCCTCGGGAGCAGCATTGGATTGCCAGTCTTGCATGGGATCCCTGCTGGAGTGAATGCTCTCTGTGATTGGGCTTACTGGTACCTTCCGGGGGGGGGGGGGGGGGCGCCATCTGATTGGCTCATGGAGGGCCGTGGGCCACACCTTGGTTCCAGGGGAGCAGTGCACCTGGCTGCGGTCCCGCCCACCGTCTGCAACCTCAGGGGAAAAGGTAGCCGGGTGTGACCGCCGGGAGGCCAGGGGCCTGGTGGGGCTACACCTCCTCCTGCCCCCTGGTTGCAGGTCCATGCGACCCTGGAGCTGTTCGCCCTGATGGTGGTTGTCTTTGAGCTCTGCATGAAGCTGCGGTGGCTGGGCCTCCACACCTTCATCCGACACAGACGGACCATGGTCAAGGTGATGTGTCCGTGTCCGAACGGCGTTTTCTCCCACGTCAGCTTCCGGCCTGTATCTTCAGTTCAATTCCGAATCCCCCGTGGGCCGAGCCCTGCACTCGGCACTGCAGCCCTGGGGCCCTGTCCTTGCCAAGCCTTGCAGAGCCTCGCCCCGGATGTCGGGGTGATGCTAACGGGAGCCACTGTGATTTGGCACCTAGCGTGTGCCCGGCATTGGCACAACAGCCTTTGCGGGAGATGTGTTCCTCTTCCTAGTTCATACCCTGCCGGCCAGACGAGAATGGGATCTAAATCCCAAAGGCTTGGGGTTCAAACCCAGGTCTGTCTGGCCTCCAAGCCCACGCGGATCAGTAACCAGTAACATACACCTGTCTTCCGGGCAGCGAGTAGGCATGAGTCAGAGTGCGCTTTGCCATGTAAAAAGCATGCACGCTCGTCCAGGAGAAGGTGCCCAAGGAATGGCACATCAGGATGCCCTGCAGACATCAGGGGCCTTCCCGGTGGGAATGGGGAGGGCTGAAGGCAGAGGGTGGGCACATGTGGCCAGGCAGAGTGGCCGATGAGCTGCTGGGAGCAGGGCTTCATTCCCCCCGGGGCCATACATCTGTGCCAGCAGCCAGAGGGCTTGTGTCCAGGGGCTGTTCGATGTCGGGGGGCTGGGGGGGTGGTGCTGAGAGAGAGCTGGAGAGAAGGGAAGGGCCTCTCGAGGCCAGAGTGGGCAGGATCTTGCCAGCCCTCTGTTCGTGGTGTGCAGGTAGGGGCTGGAGAAGGAGCTGATGGAGCTCTGTGCCCGTCCACCCCCAGACCTCCGTGCTGGTGGTGCAGTTCATCGAGGCCATCGTGGTGCTGGTACGGCAGACATCCCACGTGCGTGTGACCCGGGCTCTGCGCTGCATTTTCCTCGTGGACTGTCGGTACTGCGGCGGCGTCCGGCGGTAAGGCCCCAGGGGACGAGACGGTCGCTATCCTGGCCTGGCCCGGACCTCTGGGCCTGTGGAGCAGGACCCAGCGAGTCAAGTAGCGATGGGATCAGTTCTGCACGCTGGGAGAACACACGCCCGCTCACTTCCTTCGAAGTGGACCCGCACAGGGCAGAAGGCGGTCCTCCACTCGGGTTTCGGTTTCCTGGCTCCGGGTCCGGGGCTCTTTCCCGTCTTATTTGCAGCCTCCCGGGGCTGGCTCCTCTCTCGGACACACTATTTGCCCAAACACAGCGGCAGTGACCTCTCAAAGCAGGCAACTGCACAGAGTCTGAGTGACTCAGCAGGCTGACCCCCTCCCCGAGCCCGGGGGCTGGACTCAAACCTGCCCACTAGCCTGGAGTTGAGCTTAGTGCTGCAGACTCCATCTGGAAAGTCTCTTGGCTGGGATGCTGAGAGAGAGCAGGCTGGGCAGTTCATTCTTCGGGCCCGTGCTTGTTTCCAAAGCTGGAAACGAGTGTCCCAGGACTAGGTGGCCCTGAAATGCCTTTGTGCGTCCTGCTCCTGGAAGCTCGGTGCCCAAGGCCACGCGCTTGGCCTTCTGCTGTTCCCCCCCCACTACTCACCAGGGCCCTTGCCTGCTTGGGCTCCGCAAGCAGGAGGAAGGGGCTGTGTGTGGCGTACCTGGCCCGGTTTTTCCCCGTCGCCCCCAGGCGGAAGTCCCCTGGGAAAACGCCGAGCGTGACGTCACAAACCAGGGTGCCGCGGGCCTTAGTGTGGTGTGAGTCGGGAGCCCCGGCCCCCGCCTCGCCCGTGGAGTCCCAGACAGCCCCCCACTTGGGCCCCACGCCCCCTCCCCGCCTCACCCCTCCGGCCCTGCTGTCTCCCCAGCAACCTGCGACAGATCTTCCAATCCCTGCCACCCTTCATGGACATTCTCCTGCTGCTGCTCCTCTTCATGCTTATCTTCGCCATCCTTGGTGAGTTCCCCGCGCCCCGAGGCCCTGATGGCCCCCCCCCCCCCCGGAGCAAATTCGCGGTTGAAGACGAACTCACTCTGACAGTTGGAGAAGTTCAGGAAGCTTTTACACGTGTGCAACACGCACGACCTTCGGCTTAGGAAATGAAGTCTTAGGAGTAAAATGCAAAGCCCCTCTGTATCTTTTCATGACCCCCGGTCCCTTCCCCTCAGAGGTACCCCCCCGACCTAAGCCTACCACTGCCACGTGTATCTTTCTAGCTATACTTTATATTTCCTGAAACAGCAAGTAAGTGGTATTGCTGTGCATATCAAAACATGTTATGGGGCGCCTGGACGGCTCAGCCGGTTGGGCGGCCGACTTCGGCGCAGGTCGTGATCTCGTGGTCCGTGAGTTCGAGCCCCGCGTCGGGCTCTGGGCCGACCGCTCGGGGCCTGGAGCCCACTTCCGATTCTGTGTTTCCCTCTCTATCTGGCCCTCCCCCACTCCCCCTCTCCCCCCACCCCCCCCCACCCGCCGTCTCTCAAAATGAATGAACATTAAAAAAAAATTTAAACAAACAAACATTTTATAGAAATGGTTACATGATGTGTGCGGGGCGGGGGGGGCCTCCTGCAAGTTGCTCTTTGGCGGTTTCTTCCGTTGTTGTGCATTTTCACCATTACACGTCACACTGTAGTGAACGCTCACACATCAGCCACTGGCTCCCTCTTTGCCTCCGACCCTCCACCCGACCACCCCACTCTCTGTAGAACTTCCTTTGTGCTCCAAGGGGGCTAAATTACCTTGAGGGCAGAACTTTTCCCTTTTCCCACTCGGGATTTCAAGGACTCAGGGCAATAGCCCATTCCAGGAGGGAGGGTGTTCGCACCCCAGGACCCTGGGCTATATCAAGGGAATCTCTTTGGAATTGTCACTTGGAATTGTCCAGCCTGTGGATGAGTTTCATTTGGTCTGAAAATGTTGAGCCGACATTTGAAAATTAGATTTATTACATGAAAATACAGATTTCTAGCCTTGAAAAAAATGGGTTTTTTAATTTAAAAAATGGAGGTATAATTGACATACAACATTGTGTTTGTTGTAGGTGCACAGCAGAACGATTTAATATTTGTGTATAATGTGAAAGGACCACCACAGTAAATCTAGTTATCACCTGTCACCACACACAGTTGCAAATTTTTTTTTCTCTTCTGATGAGAACTTTTAAGACCTCCCTGAGCAACTTTCAAATATACAACAGAGTGTTGTTAACTACTCAACATGCTGGACGTCCAGTCTTTTTTTTTTTTAAGGTTATTTATTTATTAAAAAAATTTTTTTTTAATGTTTATTTATTTTGAGGGAGAGAGAGACAGAATACAAGCAGGGGAGGGGCAGAGAGAGGGAGACACAGAATCCAGAGCAGGCTCCAGGCTCCGAGCTGTCAGCCCAGAGCCCGACACGGGGCTCAAACTCACAAGCCGTGAGATCGTGACCTGAGCCAAAGTCAGACGCTCAACCGACTGAGCCAGCCAGGCGCTCCCATCCAGCCTCTTTAAACAGCAGACTTGATTCTTGGGCCACGTATCACACCTGCTCCTTTGGACAGAGCGCGTGTTCTCCAGAGTGCTGCTGTCCCCACCACTCCCTGATGCTTTCCCTCTGCCCCCAGCACTCGTTTACATTTATTTGTGCAGCCCTTTGATGTCGGGTTTGGGACCTCTGCTCTAACCCTTCTTATCTGTGTGTTTTCTGCCCCCGTGTAGGTTTCTACTTGTTCTCCTCTAATCCTTCGGACCCCGTAAGTAGTCACCGTGTTTATCCTGTTTCTTCTTCTATTTGGGGCCTATCCCCGCAGACAAGGGGGCCGGCCACATGAGGAAGGTTTCTCAGCACGGCTTACGGCTCCTTGAGGGACGACACTTGAGCTGGTCCCTTCCTTAAGCACTGAAAGGGAATCCCCTTTCCTTGCCTTGAGAGGCAGGCTTCCGGGATCAGATCTGGAACAGATTTGGTGAAGGGACAGTGGAGGGGCGCCAGACGGATGGCGCAGACATGTGATTCTCTAGGAAAACAGTCCCACCGGTTGTCTGCTTCTGCCAGAAGCGCAGAGTTCGAGAAGGCTGGAGGCGGCTGGACTCCGCATTCGCTCACCCCCGCTGCCATCCATCAGGACTCCTTGCGAGGAGGGAGAGTGGAGGGCGAGGGGAGGGGAAGGGAAGGGCGGGCACTCCAGGTGGCCCATCACAGCCTGCCTTCTTTCCCTCCAGTACTTCAGCACCCTGGAGAACAGCATCGTCAGTCTCTTTGTCCTTCTGACCACAGCCAAGTGAGTCTGGCTCTGCGTTGGCTTGGGCCCTCTGCTGGTGCCCCAGGGTCTTCTCTTATCAGCAAGAGTATCCCACACCTGAGGGCAGACAGGTGCTCGGGACACTGTGAGGGATGGGGGTGGCCCAATGAGCTCAAAGCTCGTGGACGTGGACGGACGAGAGGAGGGGCAGGTGGGGGTGGGGCTGGCAAGGCAGAAAGGGAGAAAGGGAGAAGGCAGCCGCGGGGCCCTGCGGTGATGCTCTGCAAATCCAGTTTCCCAGATGTGATGATGCCCTCCTACTCCCGGAACCCCTGGTCCTGTGTCTTCTTCATCGTCTACCTCTCCATCGAGCTGTACTTCATCATGAACCTGGTGAGTGAGCGTGCGTCGCGCCACTGGAGCAGCCGTTCCAGCCGGCACAGCGCCGGGCACCGCGGGAATGGAGAAGTCCGGCCCGCTGTCGGCCTCCGTCCGGGATGGGGTCCCAGGCTGTGGTCAAGTGTGGTGTGGTGGCAGACGCCCTGGCGGGACTTGAGTTCAGCTGGTTCCCGGTGGGTACCCCTGGGATGATACTGCCGCGGCTCTTAGGCCTGGAGCTAGCCCTTAGGTCAGGGTGCCCTGGGGCCGTTCGTTCTCCAGCAAATGTGTGTCACAACAACTCTAAAAGCTGGCACCAACGAAGCCTTTGCCAGGCACCGGGCAGAGTGCTCCGTACGTGAGGATTAAATGATTTTCCACAAAAATTCTGGAGGTTCTGTTATGATCCTCAGCTTGTAACTGAGGAAACTGAGGGCCAGACTGACAAAGCAGCTTGCTCACAGCTGCACAGCTCGGGGTGGCCAGGTGAGCTGGTCCGATCCCAGAGATCTGCCCTTAACCGCTCCCCCTTACTGCACCCACGTGTCTGTTTCCACCCCATTGATCGGGAACCATTAGCAAAGCAATCCAGGACGCATTCTGCTAAGGAGAACGTCAAGTCCCCGCGCACCCTGGGAACTTTGGAGGTGTTTGCGGAGGCCCAGCTGGCCACCAGAAAGCCTCTTCCCATCAGCAGATGGCCCCTAGGATGAGGCCATTAGGTCCGTGTCGAGACCACACGTCAATGGCAGACTGTCGGCAGAGGCTTTTATCAAAGCTCGTATTTATTTGTATACTTCTGAAGAGCATTCCTCCGCCGGCCCAGGGTAGAAATGGAGAGCACCTCCCCTGGGGCAGACTTAGGAAGTCTCCTAAAAACTTGAGATCCTATCTATCTTTATATGTGGTATAGTTCTTATATCCTGTTGTCGGTTTAGAATCATAAAAAGATATTCTGTGTAACGGACTTGTTTTAATTTGTAATATATTTCGAGCTGTGAGAATCTAGGGCACAGGTCAGCAAACTGCAGCCTGCTGGCCAAAGCCAGCCCACCACCGATTTCTATAAATAAAGTTTTATTGGCGCACAGCCATGGCCATTTGTTTGCGCATCATCTGCGGCTGATTTCATGCCACGGCTACAGGGTTGAGTACTTTCAACAGACACCATCTGGCCTTCAGAGCCTAGAACATTTGCTATATGTCCCTCTCCAGGAAAAGTTTGCTGCCCCTCCCTCGATCTAAAGGAGGAAAAAATGGGGGACCAATTTGAAGGGATGGAAAAGACCAGGGAGTGTCCCTCAAGATATTTTCGAGAGAAAAAGAAAGCGTTTCCAAAAAAGCTTTCTTTCAGATCTGATCCCGCCCTCCCGACACAGACTGTGTCGGAAACATTCCAGCCCTGGAATTGGGCAGCCCGGCACTGTTGTGCCCTGGAGGGCAGGCCACCTCACTGCCTGGATTTCTGGGGCTGTGCACGAAGCTGTGACTCACCGGGACTGGGAGGGAGCAAGGGGGCGAGGGAGGACCGTCCTGTGCCGTGATGCTCCTTCTTGCTCTGAGGTTGGGGCGGACAGCGGCTCCCCGGCCATCAGGCTGGGTATAGAATCCAGGGCGCTTCTCTAGCTGTTTTCCCTTAGAACACTGCCCAGCCAGGCGTGGGCTTAGGTGGAGACAGGCGACCGGGGAAATACAATGACGTCTTCACGCATCCCAAGAGAGGAGACTTACAAGTGGCCGCGGGTGGCTTCCTCTGCAGACGCCTGGAGACTAACTTCCCGTATCCCCGAGGGGCAGGTGGGAGGGTCCTCTCAAGCCCCCCTTCTGGGGTGACTGGGAGAGCACCCTCTGGAGGCAGAGGACGAACTCCCCGACTCCTTCAGGCCCCGCCACGCAGGGGAGCCAGGTCCTGTGTTCTTCCCTCACAGCTTCTGGCCGTGGTGTTCGACACCTTCAATGACATTGAGAAACGCAAGTTCAAGTCTCTGCTGCTGCATAAGCGAACCGCCATCCAGCATGCCTACCGCCTGCTCGTCAGCCAACGGGTACGGAGGAGTGGGGGTGGGGCCGGGGAGAGGACCAGACCCTGTTCTCTCTCGCTGGCCCAGAGTAGCGCCTAAGCACGGCCGGGCCGGCAGCTTTAGAAACCAAGAGTTCTGCCCCTGGGAAAACCCGGAAGAGCCAGATGCCCTGGGATCCCTCGTTGTCCTGGGCGTCCGGAGTGGCTGACCCCAAGGGAAGGGCAGTCTGGGCTCTGTATTTCCCCGTGTTCGCATGGCCCTCTGTCCTCTCCCTGCAGAGGCCCGCCGGTGTCTCCTACAGGCAATTTGAAGGCCTGATGCGCTTCTACAGGCCCCGGATGAGTGCCAGGGAGCGCTATCTGACTTTCAAGGCCCTGAATCAGAGCAACACATCTCTGCTCAGGTAAGAGTGGACGCCAGGTGGGGCGGGGTGTCTGGACAAGGTGTTCACACGAGGGAGCTGGGGCGGGCAAGGGCCCCAGGAGGTGGGTGGGCAAAGAAGCTTCTTAGAGACTAGTTTTCTCCCCAGAGATTCTTACACACGTAGATGGCATCGTTCATCTGGTTTCTTTTCACAAGTAACGGCAGTCCAACCCAAACCCAGTTCCAGCTGGCGTGACAAAAAAGGAGTGTATCGTCTCGTGAAATGGTCCGGCTCTGCCACTCACTCTCGAGTCCTGAGTGAGGTGGGGTAATCCCATTCGAGCGGAGCCACAGAGCCAGGCGAGCACACATACACACACACACACACACACACACACACACACACACACGCCCTCTGACCACGGTTCCTGGCAGAACCTCCAGAACTGGCCCTGAGATGTGTGTGGGCAGTCCTGGTCTTCCAGAATGCTGATGATCTGAACCCTTGTTTCCGGGGAAGGAAGCGGGCCAGCTGTAGAAACGCGAGCGGCTGAGCTCTGTTTGGGCTGAACGCAGTCCCAGCTGTTCCATTCAGTCCTCCGCCAGAGGAGGCTCTGTCCCTGGCTATCTAAGAATCCTAGTGACTAAAGCCATCAGTAGTCAGTATAGACCAAGCGGATTCAGTGGGCATGGCACCCAGAGGAAGGAAATCAGCTGCCTGCAGGTAAGGGTCCCTGGGGCACTGAGGTGCTGAAGGTCGCAGGTGTCCCTGCCCCTTTAAAGGTGACCACGGGTGGACGAGGGAGTCCTGAAACTCAGTGGCAGTGGGTTCTGAATTTTTTTTTTTTTTTTTTTTTTTTACTTTTCCACGTGGCTTACAACAGCCTGAAGGACTTTTATGATATCTATGAGGTTGCTGCCTTGAAGTGGAAGGTGAGTGTTTGTACGAGACAGAAGACCAGAGAGGGAGCGGGGCTGATTGCTGGGGGGGGTGGGGGGGGTGGGGGGGGTGGCTGGGCGCACTGGCGGCCCGACTCCCTCCTTCCCGCTGGAGCAGCTCGGCTCTCGGCCTGCCTCCCCACCCCGCAACTGCAGGGCTACAGGTGGCCATCCGTGTGCCCTTACACTTGCCCTGTAGCCTCCCGATTAAGAGCACTGGATCTCAGGTAGACCGCATTAGTTACTGTGTGACATCCGGCAAGTGTTGGAACCTTTCCAAGCCTTGTCCCACCTGGGAAATGGGATGATGATGATCCCTGCAGTTATTTCCAGCATCACATAAAAGGAAGGCACACGCGTGGTTCCATTTAAATGCTCAGTCTTTGTTGTCATTTAGATCCCCGAGTGTTTTTGTTCTTCCCCAAGTTAGCTGGGGAAGCAGGGAAGGAAAGCGGCGTCCTGGTCCCCCAGGGCTGGGTTCTGGTCGCCGGTCCTAACACCCTGTCTCCATGGCCCTGTCTCCTGGCCAGGCAAAGAGAAACAGGGAACATTGGTTCGATGAGCTTCCCAGGACAGCGTTCCTCATCTTCAAAGGTAGGGTTGGCCTGAATGTGACATCTCGGCAGCTGGGGACAGATGGAGGTTTCCAGAGACCACAGACGAGCATCTTAAGAGCATATTCATAAGCTGTATGTGTGTGCGTACGCGTCTGAATGTGTGTGTGTGTGTGTGTGTGTGTGTACAAGAGACAGTGTGGCTACCCCAGCAGGCAAATAAGTGTTGGACTAGGAAGGAAATCAGTAACTTAAAAACCAGACCAAAAGACCTTTGTGGAATAGTCAGTGAAGAACATTTACAAAGTCAGACAAAATGAAAAATTTCCACCTAGAGGTAACCACTGTTCATTTTCTGATGTGTTTCCTTCTGTGTTTGGTTATTTTTCTGTGCGCTTTCTAAAAAAGATGTTTTTATTTAGTTATTTTGAGATCGAGGGAGCGCCCGTGGGGACAGGGGCAGAGAGAAAGGGAGAGAGAATCCCAAGCAGGCTGTGCACTGTCAGCACAGAGCCCAATGCGGGGCTCGAACTCATGAACCTGTGAGATCATGACCTGAGCCGAAGTTGGACATGTAACCGCCTGAGCCACCCAGGCGCCCCTCTGTGTACTTTTTAAGAGGTAGTAGGATTACATTATAGACTCGGTTCCCAACCCTGCCTTTTTACCAAATAATGTATTCTGACCATCCTCCTCACAGGATACGTAGCTGGTGTATGTGATCCCTTACATCATGCTTGCATAGCATAAAATTCAAAATTTTAACATCAAAGCGCCCATATTATTGTTGCCCCTTAGTTGAGTGCCACTTTCAAAGATCCAGTTAGCTCACGGGGCATTTCTCGTGCAGAAAGGCTGAGGCCTGGGTATGGGCCATTATGAATGAGAGTAAAGGGGGTATGTTCTATTTTGTGACTTCTCCCACAGCTAGGGCTTGGGGCACAGCTGTTATCCCATATCCTGTAGAGGGTTTTCCATCCCATGGGATGATAGCCACTCAAGTGGATGAGTAAATGGTCCAGGGTCAAGGCCAGCAGCAGTGAAGGCTCCGTCCTGGCTCCGGGTTGCCCAGGCTCTCCCCAGAGCAGCTGTTGTCGGTGTGGTCTTGCCTGAGCACTAGCGTGGGGTCACTCTGACGGCACACCGTTCCTTCCTCACCCCTGGGCCTAAACACCCTGGTTGCTCACGTGTGTGAAGTGTGCGGTAGTGAATGTGTACTTGGACGTGAAGATTTCGCTATTAACATTTATTCTCTTCAAATAGGAATTAATATCCTTGTGAAGTCCAAGGCCTTCCAGTATTTCATGTGTAAGTGTGAAATACCACAGCTCTGGGCCCCTTCCTGCCTGAGTCTTTTACTGTTCCAGAAGGTGGAGAGGCAAGAGATTAGCCCTGCAGGCATGCTGTTGACTTTTTATTATAGCAAATTCCAAGCATGTATAAAAGTGGGGAGATGACGGTCACCGTGAGCATCCACGGTCACCTGGCTTCAACAGCGGTCCCCCACGGCCAGTCTTTCTGTCCGTCTGTACCCTCGCTGTGGCTCTTCGACTCCTCCCCAGACCTGGAGATTTCGGACACAGATTTCAGAACCACAGGATGTGGTCAGTGGCTCTGCCACTTAAGTCTGTCTCAGTCTGTAGGTTTCTCTTCCATCCCCTTTTTCCCTCTTGCGACATTTAGTTGAAGAGACAGGACTGTTTGGCCTTCGGGCTTCTTTTTGTGTATTCCCCGTGTTGCTTGGTTCCTGTAACTATATCTAGATTTGTGTTGTCCAATGTGGTGGCAACTAGCCATGTGTGGCTATTTATATTTAAGCAACTAAAATGAAAAATTCAGTTCCCCAGCCACGGTAGCCACATTTCAAGTGCTCAGCACCACATACAGCTGATGACTACCAATTAGCACAGAGAAGGGAATTTCTGTTGTCACAGGAAGTTCTCTCAGGCAGTACTAGTTGGGAGGTTTGCTTGAACTGAGACTTTCTAAGGAGCTCTGGTTCCATTTAGCGGGAAAGGGTGTTTAGAGACCACAGTTTGAAATGCTAGAAGTGCTTACTGCTTGGAGTTGGTTATTATTTCTAGGCCTTTCCATGGACAGAGATGGGATTTTGTCTTTGAAGATAAACCGTATCCAGGGTTCCGGAGTTTCTCCTGACATTTCTTTCTTTCTTTCTTTCTTCCTTTCTTTCTTTCTTTCTTTCTTTCTTTCTTTTTTTTTTTAACTTTTTAACTTTTTAATATTAATTTTTTTATTTTTTATTTTTTAAAATTTACATCCAAATTAGTTAGCATATAGTGTAACAATGATTTCAGGAGTAGATTCCTTAATGCCCCTGACCCATTTAGCCCATCCCCCCTCCCACAACCCCTCCAGCAACACTCAGTTTGTTCTCCATATTAAATTTTTTTTTAATGTTTATTTTTTTGAAAGAGAGAGACAGAGCACGAGTGAGGGAGGGGCAGAGAGAGAGGGAGACACAGGATCTGAAGCAGGCTCCAGGCTCTGAGCTGTCAGCACAGAGCCCGATGCGGGGCTCGAACCCACAAGCCGTGAGATCATGACCTGGGCTGGAGTCGGACACTCAACCGACTGAGCCACCCAGGCTCCCCCTGACATTTCTAATTCAAATTCAGGACTACCGTGTTTTTACTTAACTTCCTCATTCTTTCAAATCCAGATTTCCAGCCTTAAAATCTTGCTTCCCAGCACCATTCACACAATTACTCATTTGCTGTACCCCACGGTAGACTCATAACCATCTCCAGAAAATGATATCAACACTGTCCCAACAACACAGACCCTAGTACGCCACTCCAGGGATAGACATTCAGATTATTGTGCGTCAAGGTCACAGTAGTTCCCCGCCCCCGCCCATGTGGGTATGTCACCAACTGGAGACACATTTAGGTTTCTTGATTTCATTTTATTTTTCATTTTGTTTTATACTTATGTAAAATATCTATGTGGTTCCAAGTCGGACCTATGAAACAAAGTATATTTAAGGACGTCTCATTTATATCCTGCCAAGCGGGGGCGGCCCCCGCACAATGGGTACCTTTTATTTTGGTTTATTCTTCCAGTTTTTAAAAACTCTAAGTAGATGCATATACGTGCCTCTCCCTGTGTCTTAAATAAACAGTCACATACTTGCTACACTTTCTTCCCCACCTTTTCGGCTTTTTTAAAAACATGTTCGGGAGACTGCTTCCCATTGTAATATATAGAGACGTTCCTCATTTCTTTTTAGAGTTGCTACTTCACCATTTCACGAACATGTCATAGTTGATCCCACCAGTTCCCTGTTGGTCATTTAGGTCATTTCTAGACTTTTGCCCTCACAGATACTTCTCCCGCAAATGGCTTGCGGTAACATTGTTTTGGGTTTCGCTAGTGTCTCGCTAGAGTGGATCCCTTGAAGTGGGATTGCGATGTGAAAGATCAAATGAACGCGTAATTTTGCTAACTGGTTCCTGTAGCCTTTCTTTTCTTTTCTTTTTTATTTAATTAAAAAAAAATTTTTTTAATGTTTATTTATTTTTGAGACAGAGAGAGACAGAGAATGAGTGGGGGAGGGGCAGAGAGAGAGGGAGACCCAGAATCCGAAGCAGGCTCCAGGCTCCAAGCGGTCAGCACAGAGCCCCCTGTGGGGCTCGAACCCACGAACCGTGAGATCCTGACCTGAGCCGAAGTCAGACGCTTAATCGACTGGACCCCCCAGGTGCCCCTCACGGAGCCATTCTTAAAATCTAGGGAAGAGCAAACATTTTAATACTCAAACACCTCTTACACGGACTTGGCAACAGCAGTGACCTCGAGGGTGTTTTTAGGAATCCATAGCTATTTCCTGCGCAAAACCCCTGGCTGGTGTAGCTCACGTGATAAAAGCACGAAGCGGAGAGAAGCCCCTGTCACATGGGCGTGTGGGGCGTCGCCCGGGGCTGCCGGGGAACGTGGCCGGGGTGGGGGGGCTGCGGCTGTGAGCTAGAGATTCGCACACCCGCCTGTGCTTCCTCTGCCTGTCACGAGCCTGTCTGTTTGCAGACTTGGTGGTGGCCGTCAACGGGGTGTGGATCCTCGTGGAGACCTTCACGCTGAAAGGTGAGCCCTGGCTGGGCGACCGGCCCTCGGGTGGGCGCACCTGGTGCCTTTGAGCTTGAGCTCCCGCCTCCTGTCTTACAGGTGGGAACTTCTTCTCCAAGCACGTGCCCTGGAGTTACGTCGTCTTCCTGACGAGTAGGTTTCTGGCGGTGGCTTTGCCGAATGGCCGGGCCGGGAGGACCCTCATTTGCTTTGGGACCTCGCGGCTCTCCTCGAAAACAGGGAAGCTTGGGGAGAATGGAGCAGGAGTTGAGTCTGATCCCGTTCCACCCCCGTCCAAAGCTCTTTTGCGCTTCTCCGCCGCCCTCCGGATCCCATCCCCATCCTGGGCGTGACTCACACTGCCTGGCCACCCGGGGCCCGCTCAGCTTCCGCCCTCGCCCCGGCCTGCGGCCCCCCCCCCCGAACAGCAACCCGCTCCCCGGCCCCCCCGTGCCCGGGGCCCCTTCTTACCTGGGGCCTCTGCCAAGGTTGTTTTGTCCACCTGGTGCCCCCTGCTCTGCCTGACATTCCCCCTCCTCCTCTTAGGCGCACTGCACCGCCCTGCCCCATTCACCTGCCCCATTCTGGGGGTTGTCTGGAGGTGGCCCCAGTTGACCAGCCTCTGGGCCGGGCCTCTCCCGGGGGGAGGGGTGGTGTGGGTGTGACATGGCCTGTCGCAGAGGCTGGAGACCTCCGAAGAGCCTCAGAGGGGGGGACGGAGCCAAGGCAGGTGTGGGAGAGGCTGTGTTCCGGCCACTGCTAACTGCCTCCTTCTGTTCACAGTCTACGGGGTGGAGCTGTTCCTGAAGGTTGCTGGCCTGGGCCCCGTTGAGTACCTGTCCTCCGGGTGGAATCTGTGAGTGCAGAGTGTGTGTCTTCCCCACGTCCGCGACCAAGAGAGGCCCTCTCCCCACACACCCGCAGCACACCTTTCTGCGGTGGCAGGAGGAGGGGGCGGGGACAGGACGAGGCCTTTGTCCCCGGTACAGCTCCGTCTGTGGCTCCGGGACACGCCAGGGTCAGGCTCTTGCCTTACTCTCTCAGGTCCCTTGGCCCGTTCCTCCGGGACGTGGCGTCTTAAGGGGCATTAGGCTGGCTCTTCCTGAGTCATTCGGCCCCTACACCCACCCCTGACGACGAAGCTCCTGCCTCCCCCATGGAAACCACGATACCGACAGAGAAGGAGCAGCAGCCGGTTGGGGGTGGTGACGAGACCCGAGTGGCCCTTGTCCCTGTCCCCACGGAGACCTCAGAGGCCACCTCCCGCCCACTTAAGTTGACTCGCCCGTGATATCAGGCTATCCTTCACAAGGTCTCAGTCTTGACAAACAGAGGAGTCGAGGAGGAACAGTGGTAGCGTGTGCACCATTGCTGTTTTCAGGGCCTTAACACACGTGTGCAGAGGACAGAGGCCCTGTCTGGGGCAGGGCTGGCTGGCCTCTAGGTGGGAATCCCGCCCTTTTCCTCCATAACCTCACCGGGGTCGGTGGTCACCCATAGAACCCGACGTACGGCGTTAGACCAGTGCAGGACTTTGGTGGGGAGAGGGGGTGGTTCTGGGCATTTCTGATCCCTGCTGTATGTGCTATGCCTGGAGGGCTGGCCAGGCCGGCCTCAGACACCCCCAGGCGGCAGGAAGCTGCTTCCTGAGCTGTGCGGCTGCGGGCCACTGCTGGGCACCCTCTGCTCTTGCTGAGGTTGGCGGGTGGGCTCCTTGGAAGGGAGCGTTGAGAATGGAGCTGGGGAGCGGGGCACCGTGGGAGGGAGGCAGGCTCCGGGCAGGACAGGCCCAATGGTCCGTGGCTCCTTCCTCTCCCTCCCAGGTTCGACTTCTCTGTGACCGTGTTTGCCTTCCTGGGACTGCTGGCTCTGGCCTTCAACATGGAGCCCTTTTATTTCATAGTGGTCCTGCGTCCCCTCCAGCTGCTGAGGTGACAGGGACAGGGCTGGGGCTGGGGAGAGGCGGGCAGGGGGAGGGTGGGAAAGCCTTGGGACTGATTTGGGAAGTGGCTGGAAGGAGCCAGAAGGTTCGCAAGCCTGGCGTCAGAGACTCACCCTCCTATGAAGGCACCAGGCCCCTGTCGCCTTCCTGTGGGGATGTGCGGCCCGCCCGTCTCCTCCCGTCACCGGGACCAGTAGCCTCTGACTGTGGAGGAGAAACGTGGCCCGCGGCTTGGGTGAACCCGGCCTGCGGTGATATCTGCTGTAGCCACAGAAACAAACATGCTCAGAGTCATGAACCAGAAGGCCATGGCCTCTGATGGTGCGAGGGGCACGACCCCATACATGGCCTTCCTGGGAGGAGAGAGGTGGAGGTGTGGGGGCGGCCAGGGCAGTGTCTCTAGAAGACCCTGTGGCCATGCCCCGGGGGTGGTGGCCGGGGTCAGGCGAACGTCCGTGTCCTCCCCACGCAGGGCGTCCTTCCTTTACCGACGACCCGTCCCTCGCCAGGCTCCTCTGTGGGCGTGGCTTCCGGTCCCTTCTTTCCGAGGTTTGCCACCCCGTCCCTCGCCAGGCCTTGCCCCTCACAGAGCCTCCTGGCTCCAACAGAAAACCGCGGCAAATCGCCGTTAGCGAGAGACTGGGGGGACACGGCGGGTTCCGGGTCCCTCCGGGGAGGGCCATCCGGCCTTGGTGTCCCGGCCCCACCGCTGCCCCTTCCCAGGGCCCCGAGGGCCACCGGGCCTGGGGCAGAGAGGCCCCCCGGTCGAGGAGCGGGGCTGCGGCCGTGCCGGCCCCTGAGCGCCACCTGCTCTCGTCCCTCAGGTTGTTCAAGCTGAAGAAGAGGTACCGCAACGTGCTGGACACCATGTTTGAGCTGCTGCCGCGCATGGCCAGGTACTGCCCCGCCTCTGGGCTCCAGGGCCAGGCGCCGTGAGGCTTGTGCCCCCGAGGGGGCGGCTGGGCGGCCGTCGGTGGGGGGGGGGGGGCGGGGGGGGGGGGGGGAGGCCCGGAAAGGACTGACGCGGAGAGTCTGACGGGTCTCCAAGGAGCTGAGATGTTGGCCACCACGCGTCTCCCTGGCGCCACTTCTCTCCTCTGACCTGTCTGAAATATCTAGTAGGGAGGGCAGGGAGCTGTCAACTCACTTACCGCCTGTGTCTACGTTCACAGGTAAGGGGTCACCTGTGAGTCTACCTTCACAGGTAAGGGGTGAATCTCTGGTGAAGGGGCATCTGTTCCTAGAGTCCTGATTCGAGCCGTTTTTGACCCCAGACCTGAATCACGAGGCCCCTTCCCTGCAGGCACTTTCCAGCTGGTAAACCTGGCTAGGGGCATGCCTGTCTGTCAGTCAGCTCAGTGGGTCTGAGGACGCCGGGGCCGCCGGAGGCGCTGGGCTCTCCTGCCTGGCCCTAAGTCGCCCTGTCCCTTCTGACCCTCCTCCCCAGCCTGGGCCTCACCCTGCTCATCTTCTACTACTCCTTCGCCATCGTGGGCATGGAATTCTTCTGCGGCATCCTCTACCCGAACTGCTGCAAGTGAGTGCTCGGCGGGGCCCGGCCCCGCCCGCCCCCCAGGGAGCCTGTGTCTCTGCCGGGGTGGGGGGGGGGGGGGGCCTGAGCCAGCCCCACTGAGCAGGTCGCCCCCAGCTCAGGGGCCTCGGGCACACCTCTCCCAGCCGCGACACCCTTTCGAGGCCTGGGAATCCCTTGGCCTTGCTTTCACTGGCTCGGTTCAGCGCAGTAGCTAAGTGAGGGACCCGGGATCAGAGAGGGCTGTCTCTGAAGCAGTGACATGTGAGCAGGTGTCCCTGTCCCCAAGCAGGCCTCTGTCACCTCGCCCTTGGGGCTGAGGCGGCCTTCAGGCTGCCGCAGAACCAGGAGCGGCCTGGGGCTTGGGGCCCGAGTCCCGTGGCTTCCTCCCACTTGTCTGGGGGCGGGGCGGGGGGGGGGGGGGGGGGGCGCCCCCGCCACCCCCGGCCCCCCGCGGGGGGGGGGGGGGGGGGCGGCCGGGGGGGGCCTGGGCAGACACGTCATCTCCGGCGGCCTGTTGGCATGAGACAAGTGGACACCCGCAGGAAGGCCTCTGGGGACAGGGGTGGAGCGCACAGCCTCCACGACCTCTCCCTTTCTGCAAGCCACCACATTGAAAGCATTAACTCTGGATTTGCAGTGTTCTCTTTAAAATCTGGCCCGGGAGGCCTCAAGCACAAACTCCTTCCTAAGATGCTGGTAGCCCTTCCGAGCGTCAGGCTGAGCCCAGAACCAGAGGCCGATAGCAGGGGGCCCAAACTTTTTTTTTTTTTTTTTTTAATGTTTTTATTTCGTTTTGAGACAGAGAGAGACAGAGCATGAGCAGGGGAGGGGCAGAGAGACAGGGAGACACAGAATCCGAAGCAGGCTCCAGGCTCCAAACTGTCAGTGCAGAGCCCGATGCGGGGCTCGAACCCACGGACCGTGAGATCGGGACCTGAGTGAGCCAGAGTCGGACGCTCAACCGACTGAGACACCCAGGCACCCCGGGGCCCCAAACTTTATGCTGCCCCCGTCACCAAGGCACTGCCTGCTGAATAAGTTCCCTGGGGGCCCCGGGACCAGAGGTGTAGAATTTCTGGCATGAATGTTAACAGATCAGCCATGAAGGACCGGAAGGAAGGCAGAGAATAAGCTCTCAGACAGGGACGACCTTTCGGTGCACTCCAGCCAGGCGAGGAGCTCCCGCTCCGTGCGCACTACCCCGCACACAGGCTCTAGAGCAGATCCCAGCCTGGGGAGAACCCTTCCCAGCTTCTCCCTCCGGTAGCTGGGAGGGAGAAGGCTGCTGGTAGCAGAGAAATGACAAGTGGACACAGAAAAGCAGGGGGCAGGCCTAGGGGTTCCCACCAGCGCCCAACAGGTGAGAGGAGCCCAGGGCTTCCCTTGAGCCAGGAACATGGGCGAGGATGCGGGGGGCTGGGCCGGGACAGATGCTCCCTGCCCGGACCTTGGACTTTCGTCCTCTGTCGAGGTGGCCCATTTCCCTGTGACTTTCCCTCTGCTTCCCTGGCCAGTACCAGCACAGTGGCCGACGCCTACCGCTGGCTCAATCACACCGTGGGCAACAGGACTGTTGTGGACGAAGGCTACTATTATCTCAATAATTTTGACAACATCCTGAACAGCTTTGGTGAGTGTAGGGGCCCCAAGCAGGACAGTCCCCGGGGCACACCGCCTCTGTCACCGCAGGCCCCAGACACGGCGGAGCAGAGCTGTCTGAGGCCTCCCCTCCCCCAGCCGTTTGCCACACTCTCCCGAGTCCCCTCGAGCCTCAGTGGAGCCTGTGGTTTGCCCGGTCCCAGGGGTGCAGTCCAGGCCAGACGCCAGCCCTCACTCACCGCCAGGTCTCACTCCTGGGAACAGAAGAGCCCCGCGCTTTGCCGGAAGGGGTACAGCCCGATGCTGGGGAGCCCACCCCCCGTCACAACCCCACACCACAGGGTGGGGCGCAGCCACACCCACCTGCCACGGTGCCTGCACTGACCCAGGCTCAGGCCCACACAGCTCTGCTCCTGGGTTCCGTGGAGAGGCCCGGGCAGGAGCAGGGCATAGGTCAAGAGGAAGGGGAGCCCCTCGGGGCATCCCAGATCTCTACCGAGCAAGGTGTGCCTGCTCTTTCCCCACCATCCACCCCCAGCCCTGGTTGGTCACGGGCAGCTGAGGCAGGAGGCACGCCCTTTTGGGGACAGGCCAAGTTTGCCGCGCTTCCTGTGGGGTGGGAGTCGGGGGGTGGGGGGTGGCGCTCACTTCTGGAACTCACAGCCCAAGCTGGCAGGTGGGATGCCATCAGTTAGGTGCACGGTACCCAGGAGAGGCGGAGACAGGCCACCTGAGACGGACTTTGAAAAAGCGAGCCTGATCAAAACACTCCTCCTCCTCCCTTCCCTTTGGCAGTGACCTTGTTCGAGCTCACGGTTGTCAACAACTGGTACATCATCATGGTAAGGACCTCGGTCAGCTCCTGGGGGGGCGTCTTCCCACCAGCCTCTGAGACCACCTGTGGTCTTGCCCGGCCCTGGACGGGATGCGTCGCTCTTGTGTTCCCCGATGGGGTCCTGGGTCACACAGGGTTGGGGTTCTGCCGAGAGCCCACTGTCGGGGCTGGGGCCCAGCAGCCACCCCTCTGCATCTGCTAGACATGGGTTCCATCCCTGCCCCCCGTACAGCCCCTGGCGGCCAGGAGATGCCCAGTAGCCTGTGGGTTTCCGTCCTCCCCCCACTGTGGCAGGGGCTCTTCGGTCAAGGGGTGGTGTGGCAAGGGTGGTTGGCTTTTGTTTCCCATTCCCTAAACCCTTCCGAGTGCCACTGCCTCTCAGAGCACAGACCGCTCGCGTTAGTCTTGAACCCCGCGGTCCTGGGGAGCATCCGGGCCTCATGCAGCACGGAGGAGTTCTGAGACCCGGGCAGTGAGGTCCCCCTCCTGTGTCTCCCACAACCCAAGGCCAATCAGGCAGGGTCTGTGTAGAGCCGGCCATGTGGGGGACCACGGAGGGGTCCGGGTACACGGCGACCCGGCCCCGCCCAGGCGCCTGCTCACTGGCTGCCTCCCCGTGTCCCCAGGAAGGTGTCACCTCTCAGACCTCCCACTGGAGCCGCCTGTACTTCATGACTTTCTACATCGTGACCATGGTAGGTCCCCGGCCCCAGCACGCCCCTCGCCCTTCACTTCTGAGTCTCCGGCTGCCCCTGCAGGGTGGTGGCAGCCCGGGGAGGAGGGGCCCGGCCGGGCAACGGGCATCGACGGGCTCTGCTGAGTGCAGGCCCCACAGCAGCTCACACCCCCTGCCCCCCCCGCCAGGTGGTGATGACGATCATCGTTGCCTTCATCCTCGAGGCCTTCGTCTTCCGAATGAACTACAGCCGCAAGAACCAGGACTCGGAAGGTCTGTGCGGGCAGCTGCGGCCCCCGCGGCCCCCGCTGCCCACCCGGCTGGCTGCCCCACTGTCCGCTTCTTGGCTGTCTGCTTGTCCGGGCCTCTGGCAGCTCAGCTGATACCCGTCTGGCTGACCTGTGACATCCCTCATTCACGCTGATTTTTCACGCACGTCACCACCGAAGAACGCCCTCGATCTCATTTTTAGAATAAAAACGTTACGTGTCTGAGATTAGAAAAATCACCCAGCAGGGACAGGCTTCCTGTGAGCACAGCCGCCCTCTGCCCCGCCTCCCTGCGCCTCCCGGACACTCGTCACCCTCTTTGTCATCACCTGCGTCCACAGTGTCGTTCTAGACTTGAGGGGCGTAAATGTCGCGCCGGTGGCTCCTCCCGCAGCTTCGGTGCTCGCAGCCCTGGTCGCCGGCCCGCCTGTTCCCGGGCGCAGGGCTGACGCGTACTGATCATTCTTGCCCCGTCCCCCAGAGCCACCACATACCGATTACTCGCCTCCGAATCGCTGTCCCCTCAGGCCACGGGATCAGTTGCTGTTTGCCCAGACTCCTGCCATAACCTCTGTCCCCTAGAAGCTGCTGGCCCAACCAGCCGTCCTGCCAGCCGCAGCAAAGGGAAGGGAAGGGGCAGGACGGGAGTGCCACGCGGCAGGGGGTGGGGTGTGCGGTTTCCCTCAGAGAGGGAACCTCGGGGGGGGGGGGGGGGCCCCCTCCCCCTCCCCGGGGCAGCAGGGAGGATGGCTCTGAGCCCCAGGCTCCTTCCCAGCGCCGGCTCCCCTCCCACAGTTGACGGAGGCATCACCCTGGAGACGGAGATCTCCAAAGAGGAGCTGGTTGCCGTCCTGGAGCTCTACCGGGAGGTGCGAGGAGCCACCTCGGACGTCACCCGGCTGCTGAAGGTCCTCTCTCAGATGGAGAGACACGAGGTGAGGAGCCTCAGGGCCGCTTCCAGCGGAGGGGGCGGGTTTGAGCTTCGCGTAGGCCCTCCCCCACCGTGCTTCCCTCCAGCCGGCTCGGGCAGTCCCTAAGCCTCCGCCCTTCTTTAGCAAAACTCCGTGGTGTTTCTGGGACGGAGATCGAGGACCAAAAGTGACCTGAGCCTAAAGATGTACCAAGAGGAGATTCAGGTAGGAGTGCCCCTGCCCACGCTGCCTCGGCCCTCGCCCCGGCCGGCTCCTGCCTGGGGGTGGGCCTCCCGGCTGCCGGGCGGGGCCGCCCTCCCAGCCCCGTCCCCCCCGAGTGTGGAGCGGCGCTGGCTAAGGGTGGGGGGGGGGGATCGGGCCGTCCGTCGGGGCCGCCGCCAGTGGCGTCTGGGACTCAGGGTCGGGCGGGATGTGGGCTCAACCGCGAACCCTCCGTCCTCCCCCAGCACAAGCAGCTGTGGTGTGCTGTTTCCCTACGGCACGGCCACCAGGACGTCACCTCCCTTCCTCGTGCTGAGCCAGAACCGCAGGTGCAGCGTGTCCCGCAGGAGACAGATGGGCACGAGGGGGTGCGGGGCCGTGCTGCGCAGGCCAGGGCGCCTCTCCTCAGGGCCATCGGGTTCTGCCGTGTCCTTGGGTCTCTTGGCTCTTTTGGCTGTTTGGGTTTTTGGTTTTTGGTGTTTTTGGTAATGTTTATCTATTTTGAGAGAGAGAGAGAGAGAGAGAGAGAGAGAGAGAGCGCACAAGCAGGGGAGGGGCAGAGAGTGAGAATCCCAGGCAGGCTCCACACTCAGCACAGAACCGGACGCGAGGCTCGAACCCACAAACCACGAGATCATGACCTGAGCTGAAATCAAGCATTGGATGCTTAGCTGACTGAGCCACCCAGGTGCCCGTGTGGGGTCTTATTTTTGTTCTCACTTAAGAGAAGGGAGAAGTTTTATATATATATAAAGCCTTCTGTTCCATCTCCGGGGCCCAGGGCTCGGGGGAGAGTCTCCCGTGCCGCTTGCGTGACAGTGGCGTTGCTGGCATTCCGGCAGCTGAAAATCCTGTTTTCGCTGGGACGGTGATGACCAGTGTCCACGCCCAAAAGGCAGGGAGGCTGCAGTCCCCGGAGCTGAGTCACGCGCTCTCGGTGAAAACGCCAGGGGCAAACAGACACGTGGCGGCTCAGGAAGCGGGAGTCACGGGGGCGCGAAACCAACAGGGGCTTTGGCCATCTCCGGCCCAAAGCAGAGGAGACGGCTTCACGGGGGCACGCGCTCAGCTGCGGGCCTTGTCCTTTGTCCTCTGCCCGTCCGTCCACTCCCCGCCTCAGTTTCCGCCCCCCCCCCCCCCCCGTCCAGTGCTGGGCCACAGAAGAAGCCCATCTCAGTGTTTTTTTAAGCCGTCAAGTTCTGTGGTTCAGACTCTTTAAAAACGTTAAGGGAGGTTTTTTAATTCCTCGATTACCTGAATACCCATCCCTGCAAACCGTGGGTGACATGACAACGGTCTTAGGCAGGTGGCATTTTTGTTTTTTTTTTTTCCAAAATGCTTTCACAGCCTTATTGGAGGGCACGCAGGCAACGTGGGAGTTAGGGGAGGTGCTTCACCCAGTTCACCTGGCTTTTCTGCAACTTCTGAGCCTCGCTTTTCTCAGGTGTTTCACAAGGACACCGTTCCTGCCAAGCCCAAAAGGGGCGACAGCGGGGAACCCTTTGTGAAGGACAAGAGATTACGTTCACAGAGGATGATTACTAAGTGCCTGGGCTTCTCTTAAAGAGTTGATATGTGCCAAGGAGAATGTTTCCAAGGAGGTGTGCAAGCCTCTAATTAATAAGGGAAAGATTTCTTTCTTTCTTTCTTTTGAGAGGGAGGGAGAGAGAGAATCCCAAGCAGGCTCCACACCATCCACGCAGAGCCCGACGCCGGGCTCGAACTCGTGAACTGCGAGATCACGACCTGAGCCGACATCGAGAGTCGGGCGCTAAACCGACTGAGCCACCCAGGCGCCTCAATAGGGAAAGATTTCACTGTAATTTTTCTGTTTGGGCCATATTCCGGATTCCCAGTAGGTCCAGGGCTCAGGGGACCCCTGCGGTCACTGTTGGGTGACTTGCAGCCCCGCCCCCTCCGTCCTGAGGCCCCTGTTGCCCACTGTGTGCCGTGGCGGGGGGGGGGGGGGGGGGGGGGGGGGGGGGGGGG